CTGTTTGTCATTTGTGTCTGAGAAGCGCAGTTGCATTCTCCCCTGACACTGAAACCAACTGACTACACTTCTGCTTTTGTATTCGCATTTCTTCGGCTTTTTTTTTTTCTCGGCTCTCTTCCTGTTCTTGTTTGAACTTCTTCAAAACCCTCATTTCCCCTTTAACTTTTTACCTGTGGCAATGGGTGCATGCTATTCTGCTCTTTTTTTTAGAACATGGTTTTGTTTTATCAGTTTATATTGAGTATAATTTGTGTTTCATTGAAAGTATAGGTAGTTTGAGTGGAAAATAAATCTGCTTTACATCTTTGTCTATGTCTGTGGTTAACATAACTGACATCCTCACGTTAACCAGTGGAGCCTCACATAAAGCGGTTTGGTGCATTAAAGGAGTTTCTCTTTTGTTTGCTCAAGCAAAATACTTCCTAGTATTATGATTGACTGAGTTTTATTGCTGTGTGTGTGTGAAAGGTGAGTATGAATTGTCTGAATATGAACCAGATGTTTTACATTATTATTATTATTACTACAGGGTAATGTGAGAATTTTTATAGTGTAATTTTATACTGTACTGTTTATATTGTACTTATTTTTGTTATTTTTTGTTTTGTTGCTCTTCTCTATTGTTCACTTACCTATACTAACAATGGAAATTCCACACTTCTGGATGAAAAGATTCTCTTATCATTATTATCTTAATGTCCAAATTAGTGGAAAAAAAATATTTATAATCCCAATCACTCTTAAAAATTAGAGTACTCTTCCCTTAGGACATTACGGTTTTAGAATATTTATTAATATAAATAATATTTTAACACAAATGTTCACTTTTATGTTATCAAACCAGGTGGATGTTTGTAACTGACAGCTTCATGAAAGAAGCTGTCTTTCCTTAGCAACTTAGTGGCCACATTGCGATGTTTATTGTGTAATGTGCAAACTGATGAGCAATAAAAGAATGGCCTACTTGGCTTTTTACTGCCAGCTAAACAATATGACATTAGATTATTTCTAGATAATTTTTTTATCAAACAGAAATTTTTGTGCTATTTTTTGCAGAACTGAGCAAAAATAGAGCTTTTGTCTACTATCTTCTACTCTTTAAGTCAAATAAATGTTGTGAATTTTACATTTTGAATGAAAATGTGTGTTGGTGAAAAATAAACTTATGTAGCAGGATGATGTATGTTTGTTTTTTTTATTGCACCCATGCAGTTCAATAGCACAAAATGACAACTGTTTGTATGTTGAAAGCTTTGGCAAGTGGATCCTCCTGCTGTTGGGCTAGAAGGGGCTCTCTGGTCAGGGTGGAGTAATCCAGGTCTGGTAGGTGGCAATAGCTTCCTCTACCTTCTGCCATTAATCTATAACTTCCTTTCAGACATAGCTGCTGCGGCTCGCTGGAGACCTTGCTGCTTTGTTTTTGCTTGGTTTTTGCTTTATTTCCTCTTTTATTATTTCAACTATTTGTTTGGTTTCTTGGTTTTGTGCTTTGTTTAAATTTGTTTTTGAGTTATATTTTTGTTTTGGGTAGCTGCCTGAGTTTTTAGATTACTGAATTAAAACATTGGTTTTAATGATTAGATATGTTGGGCGTAACCTCGTTTTAGCACTTGTTTAAGTGTTTTTCTTTTTGTATTGGCTTTGTTTGATGGATTTTCATTTTCAAATTAACCAACTTCAGATGTTTTACAGTGTGCCTATTTAAATTCTGGTGTATGTTATTCTGATTCTATTAACAATTGAATTGTCTTCTGGGGGCCTGAATATTCCCCTAAATATCTCATATTTTGCACACTTCAAGGGAAATTAAATTTTGCCTGCATTGGATGTTGGCAAAACAAATCTCCACAGTATAGAGAAATTTTTGTACATGCGCGACCAGTTTCTCACATGTTCAAAATGTAAACAAAAACAAGTTCAAAATCAAAGAGGAAGTGGCTAATTCTGATCAAAATGATCATTTTGAGGTTTTGCATATGTTGTATTTTAACAAATTAACATTTTTAGTATCTGCTTCAAACTTGGCTATTTTTAAAGTTTTGGTGACAAAAGGCAATTGAAGGCTTAAGATATTGAACATCAAGATATTTTAGGAGAACGTAAGATGTAGGAGAACGTAAGATGTGCCTTTGTGATGTTCAAGACGGCTTTCAACACTTTCAACAACCAGAAGATTCTGGGCTTCAGGTCAAAAGCCATGAGCAGCAGAGTTTTGGGTGAAAGCTGATACAAGGAGCCTGTAAGTGAGCACAAGAGCTTTGAAATGAATCCTAAAATTCGCTGGGACTCAGTGTAGTGAGTAAAGGGACAGAGTGATACAAGTGCATTAATTTTATTTGGTGAAAAGTCTGACTGCTGCAGACTTGAGACTGATTTCCTATCCAGATTGGTTGTGTCACCCAGGAGTAATGACATAAAATCAAATAATTTTGTTCCAGATCAGCTCTGGAGACCATTTTCATATTTTGGAAAGGCTTTTTCAAATGAAAGCAACAAGAACAGGAAGTATCTCTAAGGTGTGTGTCAAAGCTCGATGAGAAGTTGAATGAAATGTCTAGAATTTTTAAGTTGGATTTGTCCTCTATACTAAACAGAAGCAACTGTTTGACTGACTTGAGGGTGCAGGTGACTGGAAGCTATTATGAATGTCTATGTTTTTATGGTGTTCAGAAGCAGAAATTTACTGGAGAGCCAGTTGCTAAAACTGTTGGTATGGTTTAATTGTATCTGTTTCTGATACAATTGGATTCATCAGCATTGGTGAGAAGCGACCCTTTGAAAAACCGGGAACAGAGAAGAGAACATGTCTCTTTTAACCCTCTGATGCATGAGTGACTGACTTTACAGTCTCTCGTGAGTGGGTCTTTTTTGACCCAGGTTACAATCAATGTTTTTTTTCTGCTACTTTTGTCATTTTGATTCAAAATGTGTAGAATACTTTCTACTGTGTTTCACACAAGAATTATTTCATATTTGAAATGTTTTCATTTTTCACTTTTTTAAATGTTTTTGGAACAATTTGTAGAACATTTGTGACAACTTGAACATTTTTAAAACAAAATTAAAACTGGTTGAATTGTCAAAAATGGACAATATCAACATCCAGTGGGAGGGGAGTTTCTTGAAACTAGCTAGCTAATCAGTCTAGCTAACATTGCTATATGTAATCTGTTATGCTATGTGTATCATGCATGTGAGTGTCTGTGCATTTATCCATCCATCTTCTTCTATTTATCCAAGTTCAGGTTGCATGGATAGCAGCCTAAGAAGTAAGGCCCGACTTCTCTCTCCCCGGCCACTTGTTCCCACCAGAGGAATCCCAAGGGGTTCCCAGGCCAGCCGAGAAACATAATCCCCCCAGTGTCTCCTGGGTCTTCCCCTGGGCCTCCTCCCATTGGGATATGCTCAGAACACCTCACCAGAGAGGCATCTATTAGGCATTCTAATTAGATGCTCCTCTCAATGTGAAGGAACAGCGGCCCTACTCGGAGTCCCTCCTGGACATCTGAGCTTCTCACCCTTTCTCTAAGGGAGAGCCCAGACACCCTAGAGAGAAAACTAATTTCGGCTGCTTGTATCCAGGACCTCGTTCTTTCGGACATGACCCAAAGCTCATGACCATAGATGAGGGTAGGAAGGTAGATCGACTGGTAAATTAAGAGCTTCGCTTTTAAAGCTTGGCTCTCTTCACCATGACAGACCGGTACAGCGCCTGCTTCACTGCAGACACTGCACCAATCTGCCTGTCAATCTCCCACATTGAAGAAGGCTAATATGTTTTGTGGCAATAATACTATCACAGTATTCATGATTGACACACACACACACTCCCAATGGTGAGTTAAGAAATAAAGATCATTCTTGTATGTAAGAGTTCTTGCTGTGTAAAATATTATTATTCAGGTGTGACACGTAGGACTCGGTGTGTATGGTTCACAAAAAATGTTTTCCTGGCAGTCACAGTTGGTAAGAAACAGATTCCCATTAAATTCCACAGGAAATGAATGAATTTCTGACCCACTCACGGAAGAATGGGGTAGTAATGTACAACACGCTGTTTCATAAAATGTATAAAAAGTTAATTAAAAGTTTGAATTATCGTTAACATATTTTTTGAGGAATACCTGGAGTATGATGTGATGAAACCTTTTCATTACAAAGGTATTGCAAAAAGATTACCTCACCGGGTCAAGAAGACCCACTCAGGCATCAGATGGTCAATGTGGATTTTCTATTAGTTGGATAAGATGATAACTAGCCCAAGGCAGAAATACCAGGCAGAACATTCAGCTTGTTCAGCAAAGTTGCTAAACAAGCTGAACAATATCAAAGGCTGCTGTGAGATCTAGCAGGACCAATGCAAAATATTTTCATTCATCAGCAGCCATTCAAAGATGGTTGTGAAATTTTACCAAAGGAGGTTTAGTGAAGCACTCCTTTAGAATACTTTAATACAGAGCTATATTATTATTGACTCATTATATTAATACAATTAAAGTGAACAGAGGTCAGGTAAGAAATTAGAATATATTTATTATTTAAAGATTTTTTTGGCACTAGTTCCATTTATTTAACCTGAGAGAAAAGAGAACAGGAAGAGCAGATGGAAGACCTGCAGTAAATGGCCCATAGCTGGGAGCTGAACTCAGGAAGCTGCTTTGAGAACTGATAGCCTTTCAATATGGCCAGCTCTATCACTGGGATCCCAAATGAGGGTTCTCAGTGATAGAACCCTACTAATATCAAATTGCTAATATCAATTCAGGTGATATTTAACATAAAGTTCTGAGAACTTTAATTTATACTGAAAGTTATACATTTCATCAATAACATAACTGTGTAAAGCTTAAGTTTTAACAATTAGTATTGAAAACGATACATTTTAGAACCATAAGTCAAATAACTTGTCCATAAATTTAATAACAGTAAATAATTTTCAAAACAGCAATAAAGAATAACTACCACAATCCCGTTACAAAATGCATTCATTTGTTACAAATGTAAGTACATAAAACTAATATTACATTAAAATGTAATATTAGTTTGACTCAAGAAGTACAATAACTCTACATATAGTATGTTTGGGCTGAGTACAAGAGATAAGGGTTGAGTTTAGAATTTGAAGATGAAAGTGAGCTGTTCTCATGGGCATGTCGGCGATAGTAGCGACGAAGCGCAGGACTGGTTGGATGATGTTGCCTCACATGAAGGAAGTACTCATCAGGTCGACTTGAGGTATAGCCACAGTCCTCACATACAAAAATCTTAGAGCGTCTCTGCCGGTAGGCATAGTGCTGGTGAACACCGTGAATCTTTCTCATATGGGACTCCAGAGAGCAACGTTGTGTGAAAGCTTTCTCACACAGCTCACATTTGTAGGGACGGATACCTGCAGGAGGGAGGAGAATAAAGAATAAAAAGTAGTAGTGCTATCACCTGTGGTTGTTCTTTAATCTTTTCTCAACCAGTTACATTTTGGCAATAAGTTAAGTCATAAAATATTTCTCCTCATGAATCTGAGGTTTATCAGTGCACACTGTGGACTACAAAAGATAGTACAATGGTTCCTGGAAACATAACCATCAATGAATGGCTCCCATATCATAGAGGACTACAGCATTTAATCCAGAAAAAAAGGCTGCAATAATTTGAAAAAGTTTTTTCTTGAACTTGATATTCAAATGTAGTTTGTGCATAATGTTTTTACAAAATTAACTTGTGAATTTCCCCCAGAAATGGTCAGATAGACATATTGCAGCAAAAGTCTATAATATAGAGTTCCAATAATGTGATTTATCTTGGCAACCACAGGGGAAAAAAGTTGCATGGCTTGCAACTTTTCCTCCATCCCCTGTTGGAGGGGGATGCTGAGCAAATTCAGTACACCTCAATTCGCTCAAAAGCGTTCCCTCGGATGGAGAGCTTGGTCAGAATCGTTCCCTTAGCTGACTGGTTGCGTCTTTATATGCCTTCCACATTTCCTAGATGGCAGCGGTATAAAGACTTTGTGTCTGGTGTGGACTGGCCTGGGACCTGATGCCCACAATCAGCTGTGAAGATGAGTTTTTGTTGGACCTACTCCAGAAAAGACATGTTGTGTGACCAAGACAGGTCAGAGGTGATGTGGATGCCCAAGAATTTGATGTTACACACAAACTTCCCCATTTGATGAGAAGTGAGCAAAGTCTTAAGTTAAAAATCAAAAATTTTCATACAAGCAATTGACATTTCTAACCTGTGTGTGTTCGCATGTGCCTCTTGAGGTCAAAGGTGTCATTGAATCCTTTGCCACAGAATCGACAGGGGTGTCTCTTTACAAGACTGTGGCATTTTAGGTGGCGTGTCAACATGCGCTGCAGGGGGAAGATTTTGTGGCACAGTGAGCACCCAAAATCACCCGAAACAGGCGTACTGCGAGGGCGAGCCTGCAAGAGAAACACTCATTTAAGAAAGTTGATTACAGAATTTTACAGAATTCATTTCCTATTTCTTTTTGAAACTATATTCCATCCATCCATCCGTCCATCCATCCATTTTCTGATCACTCTTCTCCCTAACGGGCTCGGGAGTTGCTGGTGCCTATCTCCAGCTGCGTTCCGGGCGAGAGGCGGGGTCACCCTGGACAGGTCGCCAGTCTGTCACAGGGAATATTCCATTGAGCTTTACTGTACAGTAATTGTAAGGGTCTCTGAAGAAGAGGGTTTCGCTGGCAGAACCAATTTATTCCTAAAAGATCGATTTATAGAAGACATGTTTAGAGTTGATGTATTTAGAAAGAACACCAGTCTAAGGAGGTATGAGAATTGAGCAAAATTTAACTTAGGAGCCCTTCTTGCTTCTAAAAACATCAACATCTGTTAACAGCTTCTTTGTTAGATTTAGTGAAATCTGGGAGAGGGGCAGTAGTTTAGTTGGCCAACCTAAAAAGCAATAAGTTATAATTGCAGTTTACTTATTTGTATTTCTGGACAAACAGAGCTCAAACTCAAAGATTATACTCATAGCATCAGATTGTAGCTGTCATAACAAAATGATCTAACTATGAATATTGTCCTTTGAACTTTTTCAAAGTAAACTTGCCAGCTCCTTAACATCTTGCATTTAAATGTTAAACTATTTAAAATCTTTTAGTTTATGTATGTTTCAAATTTAGCAGCACTGATATTCTCAATAAACAAATATTACATCGATATATCTATGATTTGTGTTAAAATATGAGCATTTATGGGTCCCTAAAACCCCGGGGGGCCTCATGGAACCACTGATCTAATTTGGCTTAAACAGAAGTGCAAATAATTGATATTCATTTTAATTGTGTTATTTGTTGTTTTTAACAGCAAATGGCATGACCAGAACAGTATTTCTGCCTATGCTAATTACCGAGTAATATTTTTACATTTCCTGTCAACATTACATCTTTTAAATACAAAACCACGGTGGACCCCCCTGATGCCCCGACCACTGGCTTTAACAAGTTTTCTGGGGGAAACCCTGGAATGTTTTAGTAACCTGACAAATTTGAATTTAATCAGGTTACAGATGCTATCTATGCTAGTTTTGTTAGCATTGTTAAGTTGTAAAAAAAGCCACACATGTTCACATACAGATTTGTGAGAGAGCAACTGTGACCACCGGTAATGTTTCAAGTCTGGCCAAAGATTCTCACTTGGATGTACTATGTGTCTGGACTTTGACTGGGCCGTTATACAATATGAACAGAGAATACTTTGATCTCCCCTGTAGTGCTGGCTGCATGGCTAGGGTGGCAATTCTACTAGGTTATGAAATTCTGCCACAGTCTTAAGTCTTTTCCAGCCTCTCCCAACCTTCTCTTAACATTACCTTATATTTGTCTCTGTTAAGCATGATGTCAAACAGCTGTGAAGTTTATTTAACACTTTAATTTTCTGCATGGTACATTCTCTGGGAGATGCATTGAGCTTCTAAATAAATAGGAGCTTGGTATGTAAATACCAGTGGTTTCCAGATTTACTGACAACTTAAGTACTAAAGTCACTGTACCATCAACTTCTTCTGGCCATGCTAATTTTGTGCTGTAAACTAAAAAAACCTTAGTGGATGCAGCATGTTGGTTTTCAATGTTTTCTTCTTCCTAGTTGCACTAAATTAAATCTAAAAAGTGTTGTAGTGCTGCTGGCTGCTACATAGTGTTAAAAGTTATACTCAGTGCTAATAAATTTTATCTCTTTCTTACACGCTTTCAAGTTTTGTAAGAATAAAAAACGGAACTCCTAACGCTCAAAGCCAAAACCTTTGAGTTTTGCCTCCATGTTGGTTTTGCATGTAAATTAGCATTCTCCAGCTTGCTGGTATGAACCTGTTTTCCTCTGACCATCTTATATGTAAATAACAGCACAGGCTTTTTAATTTATATGAACCAAGGTTTGATCAGTTAATGTGCTAAAAAAAGGTTAGTTTTTTTAAATAAAGCATTACATTGAACTGTTTATTTAGTTGACGTGGCTGAGCTTGTAAATGAATCTGTCTCTGACACATTTCAATTGAATCTTGATGACAACTTGATAAATGTTAAAGTTTGTCCTTAACTACAAGAGTGCTAAATTGGGGATTGGTTCCTTTGTCACTTTTAAATTTGACTTGGATATCAAAAAACTATTTTGATATATTCAAATTTCTTTCCTTCTTGATGTGCATTCATGTTTTTCCAATAACAAAAAGTTTTTATTCAATTTGTTGCTAGTTAGGGCAACATTCTTAACACAGTGAAGGTAAAAAAAAAAAGTTGGTTTAAACAATAAAAGTGACAATACCTTTGCTCTGCTGATGGAAGCTAATGTGGCTGGAAAACCAAAAGGCTCCATTTTTGACCAGCATCTGATTTCTGATCCTTGGTCCCCTGATCCTGTGGAAGATACTGGGACTCTAACTTCCACAGTTGTCCCGCTTCCTGCAATCTCTTCTAAGTAAGTTCCTGTGTGGGGCTGTTGGATGTCATGATTGAATATTATTTTCTCCATAGTATTTTCTGTTACTGAAAAATAAGATTTAAGAAAACATTTTAGGATTTAACAGCAAATCCAAGTTAAATCCATACTGCAATAAAATCAGAACAAAAATATATGCATCTTACGTATAGTATTGTCCTCTTTCCATTGATGCTGTTCTGGTTCTTTCCATTGCCATGCACCGCAGGCACTGCGCTTTTTCTTCACGAGAAAAGATCTTGGCATTTCTTTCTTTTGTTTGTTCTTAAAATATACACTGATGTTGAAAATTGAAATAGCTGATGAGATCTGTTACTCACCAACATATATCCCCCTTCACAACTACAGTTTTATTCCTAGACAATCTGCAAGTGAAACATCCCAGTAAAATCACAGAAAAAATTTGCATTCTCTCCGGACAGAATGGTGGAGAGAGAATGGCAGTGGTGGGTGTGGGAGGCTGTTGCAGGAGACTTTCTGTGTAGACAGTCAGACACCTGTGATGACTGTGCATATCCGCCATTTTAACCGGTCCTCCAATGGATTTGCATGTCAGGTACTGAGTATCCGGGGAGCTTCTCATTCAAGTAGCTTTTGACATGCAAATTGAAGTTCTGGACTAAGGCCCTGGTCTCAGAGGAAGGGCACGGTCTAAGTAACAGGAGCAAACACAGTGAAGCCACAATCTTAACTGACAGGTAAATCAGATTTTTCTCATGATAATTGTCTAGTGGACATTTCTTCACAATATGCATTGTAAGTGGCTAACAGACAGAGGAGGTAGACCTTTTTTTTTACATCATTTGATCACTTGAGGACACTCAAGAAAGGGCCTGACAGTAATTTAGATTACTGTCAGATGCTGTGCACCTGTTAAACTAAAACAGCTGCACAGATTGATTGTGAACAATCAATTTATATTAACAAGAATACATATCCAGGAATGAATCACTTTACGGAAATACTCCTAATAGTCATATGAGAATTCTATAAAAGACTGAGTTTACCACTCAAAGAGCTTTAAGCTCTTTGAGTTGACTAAGTGAACTTGTGAGTTCACTTAGTCAACTCACAAGCACACACATTCATACAGCAAGACTCAGATCGATGGCCAAATAGGACTTCAGTGCCTTGCCCAGGAGAACATCGACATGTGGACAGAGAAAGTTGATTTCTTGTAGATTGTAAGACTTTTCCTTTTCCTAGTTCTTAGCTGTAATAACTTAAACTGTGTGCTGACTCTAGATTGTTTCTCTATAAGTCCAAAGATAGTTAAGGATCCAAGCAGCCTCATAATCAAACATCAAAAAAGCAGAGTCCAAATAACCCATACTGTTACTCAGTACATCCATCCATCGGCAGCATGATTCTCCCAAATTGTGAACAGGGAAGTAGTAGCACATACTTGTGACACCAAAAACTTCGGCTGTCTTAAAGAGACACGACACAGTTACAACTCCTGTTGTAACTGGAGTTGTAACACCAGTTACAACTACAGAAAAATTACTTTAAAAATGTGCAAGACTCACAGATAAAAGATACTGGAAACAGTTACAACTGGTGATTCAGTGGCCAAATTGACATGTCCTCTTCTGAAACTGAAAATCCTGAGTATTACAGATCTGGGTAAGTTTACTCAGGGCTTGGTAACACTGCTTTCTGAAATGGGGCCCTGGTGACATTTTAATGTCACCAACTTTGTTACAGCAAAGCATCTTTGAGTGTTAAGAAAAGCGCTAGTTAAATAAAATTCACTTTTGTTATGTTTTCTCTTAATTGTAGTCAGCAGCAACTCCACATTTTCAAAACGATTAACACACCGGCCTATACAGTGACATTCAAAGTGACACATTTTGTTTCCAAAAGACTCTAAATCCGAAACATTTCAAATATGAAACTAAATTAAATATCAAGTTCAAACAAAACAATTTTCAACCAAGTGTATGAGCTCTTTCAATCATTACATAGTATTTTGTTGTCCAATAAATAATGGACAACAAAATATAGCTTTGCTTGTCATTGTCCCTTTTGTATTCCTTTCATGCGAGTGCCATTTGTCAAAACAATCTTAACTGACATGCAAAACAACTATGTCAGATTTACTTCATTGCAATAAAGTAGATCTAGAATCAGAAATGCTTTTAATTATTCCATGGTATTTCAAACTATGGCTGAAAGCTGGAATAGTGTAAATATTATATAAAGGACAGTAATTGTAAACCAAAATAAAGTCTGTTAGAGAATAAGAAGTTATAAAAATAAAAATAAAATATATTACTGTATAAGAAATACCCATTGATAGCCAGTCTTATTTTTTTGTGAATTAAATGTTGGAAGAATATAAATATTTAATGATGAATATAAATACAATAATCTGTGTACTACTCAAAATGTTTTAATAATGAATCTGGGATTGTCCAGTGACAGGAGTTGCTTTTTATTGTCAGCATTTCCTACAGTGTTTCCAAGAGAACGTTGACTCAATTCTGCATCCTTGGTGTTTCAGAGCTGTGCTCTAACTGTATGCAAAACTGTGTGTTCTCCAGCATGAAAATGTAGTGATATGTAGTGATAAACTATGTTACTTTGTGCATCAGCAACTTATTGTAACTCACTTTCAGCCTGATATCTTATCCGCTCTGTGGGAGGAAATAGATACAGACTAATACCACTACATTACTAAGAAAAGAACAATGGAACTAAAACCATATAGGCTACTTATATAATGAGCAAGAGAAAGTGCTTATGACAAATTGACTGAAAGGGTAATTGGCCTCACTGTTTCTTTTTAAATGGCCTGTTCGAACATGAATATGACCACACAAAAGGCTATCAAAAGCCATGTTTGTAGATAACCACACCCTTGCATATTGGTTTCTTTCCTTAGACTCCAGATTACAACTGTAAAAGAAAAGACACATGAACAAAAACACATAATTACAGTTTGGCAGCAAGCAACTTATTGCCCAACGTTTGAGACATTTTATATTAATTGTAAGATACAAATTCATACCTATTAAACTTTTCTAATTTTTTGTCACAATACAACTATATACTTGCAAACATTTCATTGGAATTTAATGTGAAAGACCAACACAGTGGTATACAATTGTGAAATAGAAAGAAAATTATACATGATTTAGAACATTTTTGACAAATAAAAATCTGAACAGTGTGCTGTACATTCTCTGAATGCAACTAATTGCCTTCAGAAGTTGCCTGATCACTGCTAATGACTAAATGGATTAGTCATTAGCTAACAGGGAAGTAGTGGCACATACTTGTGACATCCATAAACTTCGGCTGTCTTACAGAGACACGACAACTCTGCAACTGTATTTGTTGTGTGGATTAATCACAGTACAAATACAGTTGCTCTGTGATGGCTTCAGAGGTTGGTTAATTGAAAATTGAGGTGCAAACGCATCATGAAGTCTGGAACAGCCAGACAGGTCTGGAAATAAGTTGTGGATTTTAAAGCAGGCTTAAGCTATAAAAAGATTTTCAAACTTTGAAAATCTCACAAGCACTGTTCAATCCATCATCAGGAAATGGAAAGAGTATGGCACTATTGTAAATACATCAAGACAACTCAATCTACATAAACGTACAGGTCAAAAAAGGACAGCACTGATCAGAGATGTAGCCTGTAGGCTCTTGGATGAATTATCCAAGGTGGGGGAATCTGTCCACAGGACAACCATTAGTGGCCTACCGCACAAATGTGGTCTTTATGGAAGAATCGCAATTGTTAAAGGAAAACCATAAGTCCTGTTTGCAGTTTGTCAAAAGCCACATCACACGTGGCGCAATATGCTTTAGTCACATATTTGATTGAACATAGGGATGACAGAATTATGCTCTGAGGGTGCTTCTCTTCTGCCTGGACAGGGAAGATGGTCAGAGTTGATGGGAAGATAGAAGGAACTAAATACAGTATAATTTTAGACTAAAACCTGCTGGATGCAAGAATGGAGGTTTACTCTTGCATCCAGGGTTGTTCTCCAGTAAGAGAACAACCAGTAGGAGAACAACCCTTGTTACAGCCCAAGGCTTTTCCTTTGGGTTTTAGCATCCCTGCTCCAGATCTTCTGATTGGTGCTGATTGGAAGTGGAGGCAGCTGACCAGTGTCTCCATGAATGACATCAGATCAGCTTAAAATGAACCACCTTTTTCTCACTAAGACAGCCCTTTTCTTTCTGTCTATCTGCCAACCTCCCCTCTTTTTTCCCTTTCCTCTCCAAACAGTTATGACTTTTGTTAAATAAATCCCATTTTAAGTTATCCCACATGTTGCTTCCCTTTAATTTGTTATGGTACTGGAGACAGACCATAACAAATTGGGGGCTCGTTCAAATTTATGTTATAGTTTGGCGTGACAGTTTTTTCTGTTAGTAAGCTTTGTTTATTAATTTAATTGGGAAGTTAGTGTGGGAATCTTGAGTTTAGTTTTAGAGAAATGTTTTTTTTCTTTTTTCTGGTTTGGGGTAAGTAGTTTACTTTCATTTCATCAGCCGACTCTAATGGTAAGTGTGATTGTTGACTGGTTTGTGCAATTAAGTATGACTGATCTGAACTGATTCTCCTTTAGGCCTCAGCGTGTCTCCCCTTTGGGATTCATGTGCTCAATAAACAGTAGTGTGAGATTGTATGGTTAGAGCAATTGTCTCGGGAGCACAGCTGTAGTGTTGAGAAGGTTGCCAGTTTTCTGGTCGCTTTTTTCACTCTACTGGTATTTATTGCATAAGTACCCACCGATCTCTGAAGACTAGGGTTGAGCTAGTGACTTTCTGATAGGCAGTTAGAGGGGAGGTTCAGGTTGGTTGTTTTGTGTTGCACAGATTGTCAGCAATTTACTTTAAATTTTGAAACACTGTTTTCTGATTAAGAATTTAATTATGTCTGTTGAAGATTTTAATAAAAATCTATCAGCAGAATTTCTGTGTACTAGAGAACAATTAGTAAAAATTGCTGAGCACTATAAAATAAGTGTTGGTGACAAACGGTTGAAAGAAAATGTTAAATCAATTTTAAGGGAAAACTTAATTGAAATGGGAGTTTTGTCTTTGCCTTCAGTGCCTGAAGATTTGGATTTACAGGTTGTAAAGCCTAAAGTTTTGGATTTTGAACAACAGAAAGAGATGTTAAGATTAAGAATGCAACTGGAGAAGGAAAAGGAATTGGCTTTGGAGAATTTACGACAGCAAGCAGATTTGGATAAGGTTCTTGCTTTGGAAAAACTAAG